TTCTCCATAGCTTCTCCATACCTTCTCCATAGCTTCTCCATACCTTCTCCATAGCTTCTCCATACCTTCTCCATAGCTTCTCCATAACATGTCTTCTCTTTTAATAAGGTTTGAATGACCAACAGAAGTCTCCAAAAGCCTCCAAAAGACAAAGCAGAAAATCCAGGTGCCTCTTGAAAAAGCACCTGTGGGACAAAGCAATAGAAGAGATTATTTGAAGCTCAGGGTTGAACTGTGGAGCCCTTGAAGCTCTCTGAGCTCGGTTGTTTTCTTGGAGACGTTTCACTGTCTTTCACAGTTCTTGAGCACTGAAGATGTTACCTAGTTGGGTAATGAAACGAGCTGGGAAAACAACCCAGCTCAGAGACTAGTCAGGAACTCCACAAGCTTTGAATTGCTCATCGGTTTTAGCATTAATTTGATTTAATTTTTGTTTTTAATGTTGCGTTAGCCATCTTGAGTAGCTCCGCGAGAGAAAAGCGGGACCCAAATTGAATCAATCAATCAGTTACACCAAGTGACGACTTCTGTCAAGTTTCTAGCTAAAGATTTTCTGCCTATAAATGATCGAGAAGTATCAAGAGCACTTCTGTGACTCTAATGGTATCTTAGTCTCCTTCCCAGACAATGAAGATTTCCAAGATGTCCATCATCCTATCGGAATAGCTGCTTTATGACTTTGTCTCAGGCTAAATAATAAAGTGGATGTAAACTCTCATGTAGCCGAATCGAGCAATTCTTCCCCTACCCTAATTTAGCAAGAATTGACTCATAGCTAAGCCTATTAAGCAACCATGCTAGGAATTTTAAGTCTACCTCTGCACGTAGAGGTCAGAATACAATGAATAGGATTGTAATACAAATTTAACTCCATTCACAAATGTTTTTTAGTTTAGTTTAGTTTATTGTCATTGCACCTCGTACAATGAAATTAAATGCCGTCTTCAGTGTATATTATAACTATAAAAATAAAAACATACATCCTTTACATTCTATATAATTGAAATTGAAAACCTGATAATTGCACTATACCGTAGAATTTAATATGGTTTTACCCTGGGATAGAAGCTGTTTTTCAGTCTATTTGTCCTTGTTTTTATTGTCCTGTACCGCCTGCCAGATGGTAATAGTTCAAAAAAAAAAGGGTGTGTGCCCAGGATGAGATGGATCTTTAAGAATGTTTTGAACTTTCTTAGAATGGAATGGAATAACAGAGTTGGAAGGGACCTTGGAGGTCTTCTAGTCCAACCCCCTGCTTAGGCAGGAAACCCTACACCACTTCAGACAAATGGTTATCCAACATCTTCTTAAAAACTTCCAGTGTTGGAGCATTCACAACTTCTGCAGGCAAGTTGTTCCACTTATTAATTGTTCTAATTGTCAGGAAATTTCTCCTTAGTTCTAAGTTGCTTCTCTCCTTGATTAGTTTCCACCCATTGCTTTTTGTTCTACCTCAGGTGCTTTGAAGAATAGTTTGACTCCCTCTTCTTTGTGGCAGCCCCTGAGATATTGGCACACTGCTATCATGTCTCCCTTAGTCCTTCACTTCATTAAAGGCAGCGGGAGCTATCAAGCTCTTCCAAAGAGGGGAGGGGGCAACCCATGATGCTCTGGGCAATGGCGTTGACCCTCTGGAACGCTGTCCTGTCTGCCGCTGTGCAATGGGCAAACCAGACACAGGTGCAGTAAGTTAAAATACTCTCTATGGGGCAATGGTAGAAGGCCACTAGCAGTTTTTCATTCAGTTGTTGTTTCCTGAGAAGTCTCAGGTAGTATAATCTCTGCTGGGCCCTTTTGACCAGGACTGCAATGTGAGGGCCTCAGGTCAGGTCCTCTTTTAGGATAACACCCAGAAACTTAAAACTGGCCACTTGCTCCACTCGGTCTCCATTGATAAGCAAGGGCTGGATGTCTGATCTATTCCTTCTGTAGTCCACTATAAGCTCCTTGGTCTTATTTGTGTTAAGGACCAAGTTATTGTCTCTTTTTATATCTGCAGAAAGAAGGATGGGCTACCATGCAGTCCCATACCTTCTCAACCCAACGCTAGGATCCTAGTTTTCGTCTGAAAAGAGCAAGTCGTAGAATCGTAAAGGAGATAATTTAATCATCCTGTTCATTCCTTGCTTAGAGAAGGAAACCATTGAAGCATCTCAACCTCTGGTTGACCATATCACGAGCACCTGAGGGCAGGAGAAGAAGCAATGGGTGGAAGAGAGAGACCTGTGGAGATTCTTAGTCATCCAGGTCACGGTTGTCCCAAAGGTGCTTTTTTCAAGGCAACTGGACTTTGTTTTTCCTTGAAGATGTTTTGCTTCTCATCCAAGAAGCTTCTTCATTTCTTCTTCTTCTTCAGAACTGAAGAAGCTACTTGGATGAGAAGCAAAACATTTTCAAAGGAGGTGTCCATAGAGCATCATCCAGGTCATGGTTGTCCCAAAGGTACTTTTTCAAGAGGCAACTGGACTTCCTTTGTCTTTCCTTCAAGATGTTCCGCTTGTCATCCAAGAAGCTTCTTCGGTTCTTCAGCAGTTCCAAAATGGTTCCTCACCCATTTGCACTATCCATGTGACCCCTGAGGGCACATTTGAACCTCCAGTGACTCTCAGAAAGAGCGCTAATGACCAGATAACTGCAAGGAATATAAATCCTTCCATTCCCCCACCATTCGGTCAGAACTGAAGAAGCTTCTTAGATGGAGAAGTGAAACATCTTCAAGGAATAACAATGAAAGTCCAGGTGCCCCTTGAGGAGAAAATAAAGCAGCACTTTGGGACATTAAAGAGAGATCCAAACTAGAACTAAGGAGAAGTTTCCTGACATTAAATGAACAGTTGTACATTGAAGACTAGGGATCTGGACAACCTTCCATGGATCTCAAAGCTTTGGAAGATATGGGCTTTCAAACAGATGAGTCCCAACACAGACAGGATCATTGCTGGTGGAGTAATATTTCCAAGTTAAGCTTTGCTCCTGAATATGAGGACTTACCACAAGCCTGATTAGTTCTGAGTTCTGAAATATCTACCAGATACTATCACCTGCTGAGGTCAAAGCATGCAGCTCTGGTCACCACAACACAAAACAGTTGCTGAGACCTTAGAAAGTGTGCAGAGAAGAGCAACAAAGATGAGAGTCTAGAGGATGTATCGTACGATGAATGGTTGAGGGAGGGAGGTTACGTCTAATCTAATGAAGAGAAGGACTAGGCATGATATGATAGCTGTTTTCCAGGACTTAAAAACACAAAACAGAATAACAGAGTTGGAAGGAACCTTGGAGGTCTTCTAGTCCAAATCCCTGCCCAGACAGGAAACCCTACCCCACTTCAGACAAATGGTTATCCAACATCTTCTTGAAAACTTCTACTTTTGGAGCATTCACAACTTCTGAAGGCAAGTTGTTCCACTGTTTAATTGTTCCAACTGTCAGGAAATTTCTCCTTAGTTCTAGGTTGCTTCTCTCCTTGATGAGTTTCCACCCATTGCTTCTTGTCCTGCCCTCAGGTGCTTTGGAGAATAGCTTGACCCCTCTTCTTTGGGGCAACCCCTGAGATATTGGGAGACTGCTATCATGTCTCCCCTGTCCTTCTTTTCATTAAACTAGCCATGCCCAGTTCCTGCAACCAGGGTCAGCTTATTCTCCAAAGAACCAGAGAGCAGAATAAGAAGTAAACAGATGGAAACTTATCAAGAAGACATTCCAACCTAAAAATTTCCTGACAGTAAGAACAGTTAATCATTAATTAATGCCTTGCCTCCTTGAATTATGGGTGCTCCATCACTGGAGGCTTTCAAGAATAAACCAGGCAACCATTTGTTCAGGATGATATATAAAGGCTCCTGTCTTGAGTAGGGGGCTGGACTAGAAGATCTCTGAGATCCCTTCCAGTCCTAGGAGTCTATATTCTAAGCTGCTTTTCTACCCCTCTGAATTGGGTTGTTTCAAGGCCCTGACCTTGACGTGAACTATTTCTGAGCGTTAAAAAATTGGAACCGTCCATTTTGAAGTTGGGCCATTTCCTGCACATTCGGAATTTCCTTTGAAACGTTCTGGAAATTTCTTAACGACCTGCGTTCTGAATTCCGCCTGGAAGTGGATTAGCAGCCAGCAGAGTCATTATTTTAAGAAAATGAAAAATTCCTAAAGTCTGCAGGATGACTCCCTTCGGCTCTGCATCCCTGAGACTTACTAGATGTTTGGCACCTAAAAGTGCCCCATTTAAAGCATGCTGGGACTTAAGTATGATTGCTATGATCAAAGTCGATATCACGGCAAAAGGGGCACAGCTTAAGACTGGGGAGGCATCCCTGGCAAAGGGTCACTTGAAGAAATTTAAGATCGGATGCTTCTTTTGGATCGGCTTGATAACCTGGTAATCAAGGAGCGGGTTCTCAGAGCTGAATCACTTCATCTATTAATACCCATGCAAGTTGAATTCTTGTTTCTGGATTATTCAAGTTTCTCCTTTGGTTTATTAGTAATTAGTGGAGAGAATCTGTTGGGTCTTGTTGAGGCACCAGGCCAGAAAGTAGGAGACCGGGAGTTCTAGTCCCGCCTTAGCCATGAACTCCGTCTGGGGGACTTTGGGCTAATCACCAGGAGACTGGGAGTTCTAGTTCCGCCTTAGCCATGAACTCCAGCTGGGGGACTTTGGGCCAATCACCAGGAGACCTGGGAGTTCTAGTCCCACTTAGCCATGAACTCCATCTGGGAGACTTTGGGCCAATCACCAGGAGACGGGAGTTCTAGTCCCGCCTTAGCCATGAACTCCATCTGGGGGACTTTGGGCCAATCACTCTCACTCAGCCCAGCCTGGAATGGCAGAGTGTGTCCTGCTTGAGTAGGGGGGGGTCAGGCTAGAAGACCTCCAAGGTCCCTTCCAACTCTGTCATTCTGTGTTCTCTGACATTTGGGTCCCGGGAACCGCAAGGCTTCTGTTTCTCCGTCCAAAGGTGGCTCTGACGATGTGACCTCATGTGTCCTGCTGTCCTTTGCAGGTCCCCTGCTATTCCTACGGGCAGAAGCTATCCAAGCTGGCCATCCTCAGGATCGCCTGTAACTATATCCTCTCCTTGGCTAGACTGGCCGACCTGGATTACAGCGCGGACCACAGTAACCTGAGCTTCTCGGAATGCGTGGAGCAATGCACCCGGACCCTGCAGGCCGAAGGCAGGTCTAAAAAAAGGAAGGTAGGTTTCGGGTCGGAGGAGAAAAGAGCCAGCTGGAAAGGAGGGGGGGCTCTGCACGGCTGCCGTTGGCTGGTTTTATCAGTCTCTTATCTTTAAGGTTGGGGTTTTTTTTTCCCCAGCCTGTGATTTATATTGTTCTAGTCAAGCGCTGCTTCTTTCCCCTTTTTTCTTCTGTTTTAAACACATTCTTTTAGGTTTGAATAACCTTGATGGAGTTACGCAAGGTTTAAGAATGTAAAACAGAGCAAGAGATGCAGAAATTCGGCTGTGTGCTTGGGGTTTTTCTTTCTTTCTTTCTCTCTCTCTCTCTCTCTTCCTTCCTACCTCCTCCTCTCTCTCCTTCCCCTCCTTTTCTTCCCTTCTCCCTTCCTCCCCTTCTTCTTTCTTTTTTCTATCTTCCTTTCTTCCTTCCTTCCTCCTTCTCATCCTCCCTCCCCTCCTTTCTCTTCCTTCCTTCCTCCTCCTCCTTCCTTCTTTCTTTTCTCCATCTTCCTTCCTTCCCTATTTCCTTCCTTCCTTCCATCTCAATCCTGCCTGCCTGCCTTCCTTCCTCCTTCTCATCCTCCCTCCCTTCCTTTCTCTTCCTTCCTTCCTCCCTCCTCCTTCCTTCCTTCTTTCTTTTCTCCATCTTCCTTTTCCTTCCTTCCCTATTTCCTTCCTTCCTTCCATCTCAATCCTGCCTTCCTTCCTTCCTTCCTCCTTCTCATCCTCCCTCCCCTCCTTTCTCTTCCTTCCTCTCTTCTCCTTCCTTCTTTCTTTTTTCAATCTTCCTTCTTCCTTCCTTCCTCCTTCTCATCCTCCCCCCCCTCTTTCTTTTCCTTCCTTCCTCCCTCCTTCCTTCTTTCTTTTTTCCATCTTCCTTCCTTCCCTATTTCCTTCCTTCCATCTCAATCCTGCCTGCCTGCCTGCCTTCCTCCTTCTCATCCTCCTCCCTTCCTTTCTCTTCCTCCTTCCTCCCTCCTTCCTTCCTTCTTTCTTTTCTCCATCTTCCTTCTTCCTTCCTTCCCTATTTCCTTCCTTCCTTCCATCTCAATCCTGCCTTCCTTCCTTCCTTCCTCCTTCTCATCCTCCCTCCCCTCCTTTCTCTTCCTTCCTCTCTTCTCCTTCCTTCTTTCTTTTTTCAATCTTCCTTCTTCTTCCTTCCTCCTTCTCATCCTCCCTCCCCTCCTTTCTTTTCCTTCCTTCCTCCCTCCTTCCTTCTTTCTTTTTCCATCTTCCTTCCTTCCCTATTCCTTCCTTCCATCTCAATCCTGCCTGCCTGCCTGCCTTCTCCTTCTCATCCTCCCTCCCTTCCTTTCTCTTCCTTCCTTCCTCCCTCCTTCCTTCCTTCTTTCTTTTCTCCATCTTCCTTCTTCCTTCCTTCCCTATTTCCTTCCTTTCTTCCATCTCAATCCTGCCTTCCTTCCTCCTTCTCATCCTCCCTCCCCTCCTTTCTCCTTCCTCTCTCCTCCTTCCTTCCTTCTTTCTTTTCTCAATCTTCCTTCTTCCTTCCTTCCCTAATTTCCTTCCTTCCTTCCATCTCAATCCTTCCTTCCTTCCTTCCTTGTTCTCATCCTCCCTCCCTTCCTTTCTCTTCCTTCCTTCCTCCCTCCTCCTTCTTCCTTCTTTCTTTTCTCCATCTTCCTTCTTCTTCCTTCCCTATTTCCTTCCTTCCTTCCATCTCAATCCTGCCTTCCTTCCTCCTCCCTCCCTCCCTTCCTTTCTTCATGGGGCAACAGATATTGCGTAGAATAATACTGGTCTTTCCCAAGCTGGGGAAGATGCAGTTTTAACATCCTTTCCTTGACTAATTCGTGTTCCTAATCGCAGCATTAGGGAAGCAGGAATATTTACCCAGCTCCGAGCCCCTCCAAGTGTCCACTCCCAAATGCCACGACTGCTTTCACTTTCCGTGGGTGACCTGGGAAAATCAGAGAAAACAGTTTCCAGTCCTCCCCCAATGTCAGATGAGTTCCGCCAGCTGGGCTGTGCAAATGCCCAAAGTGTCCTTCAAGGTCATCAGGATGTTCCTTCTCCCTGACTCAGGCGGTCTTTCTCACCTGGAGCTGTAGACACAGAACAGGGAGTCCTCAACGTACGACCACAAAGGACCCCCAAAGTTTCTGTCGCTAAGCAAGGCAGTTGTGAAATGAGTTTCACCCTTTTACTGTCTTCCTTGCTCCTTTCTTGTTCAGTGATTCGCTGCAGCTGTTAAGGTAGTAACACAGTGTGTTATATGGTTGTTATAACCGCTTGTGTTGAACACGGGGGATTTCTCCACCACCCCGGGGAACCCCATGCTCCACATAACGACCACGATGGGGAGAGCCGGCATTGTACAGACACCTCGTTTAATGACCGCAACAACTTACGACTGTAACTGACTTCGGGCTCATTGTGATTGTAAGCCAAGGTCCACCTCCTTGTGTGACAGTGTAACAGTGTAACTCAGGTGTTCCTTGTTTTTTCGGCTGCAATTCTGTAGCATCCCCTACTAGTTCCAAAGGTGCTTTTTCAGGAGGCAACTGGACTTCCTTGTTTTTTCTTTTGAAGTCGTTTTGCTTCTCATCCAAGAAGCTTCTTCAGCTCTGACTGGATGGTGAGGAAGGGAAGGATTTATACTCCTTGCAAACAGCTGGTCATTTGCATCCTTTTAGAGGGTCGTTGAGGCCACTTGGAGGTTTCTCTGTGTCCTCAGGTAGTGCAAATGGATGTGGAGCCTCCTTGGAACTGCTGAAAGGACTGCGTTGTAGTCACACCCATTTGCACCACTCAGGTGTGATCCTGAAGACACAGATGAACCTCCGAGTGGCCTCAAGGATCCTCTCAAAGGATGCAAATGACCAACTGTCTGCAAGGAGTATAAATCCTTCCCTTCCCCACCATTCGGTCAGAGCTGAAGAAGCTTCTTGGATGAGAAGCGAAACGTCTTCAAAACAAAAAACCAAAAAGTCCAGTGGCCTCCTGAAAAAAGCTCCTTTGGGACAACCATGCCCTGGATGATGGAGAATCTCTACAGATCCCCCCTGGGATTTCCCTTCTGTCTTTTGAAGGATTCGGTGAAGCTGCTGCCATGGAAGGTTGTCTCTCTTCCTCCAGCTGAGTCCTTTTCACCCCAGTTGCCGATGACTTTTCCCTACCCTGGTTCACTTTTCCACACTTCCCCCAAAACGGGCCGGTTCGAACCTGTCCTGGCAGGCAGAGGCTCCAGATGTTATATTTTTACTGGGCTTGTGAATCCCCTTTCGTGATCCTCTATCTCCTTTTTACTGCATGGAATTTGGGGGGGGGGTTTCTTCTTCTTTTTTTTTCCCCCCTTCTATTTGTTTTTACAATAGGAAACGAAAGGAAGAACGTTGCATTCTGTCCTGTCCAATTTCCTTTGCTCAAATGCTGAATTCCTTCACGGTCTGAAAAGGGGCCAAGAAATGGTTTTAGCCGTGACAATCACCTCATCATCATCCTAATTGCCGTCAATAGGCCTTTAAAAAATAACCTTTAAAAAGAAAAAAAAGATATTTGACATTTTTAATGGGTCGTTTAGTGAACTTTGACAAGTATAATTCTCCCTGAGAAGGAAAAAGTTGCATTCCTCTCTCTCCCCCTCTTCTCATCCCTTAATAACAGGACCGTTTCTGAAAGCTGCCCAATTTAGCTTTCATAATAAGAAGCATTTTTATTTACAGCCAAAAGTTCACAAAAAGTGGCCTATATCTTTATCTCACTTGATTAAAAAACCAGGCTAGAAAGCGGGAGACTGGGAGTTCTAGTCCCACCTTAGCCAGGAAAGCCATCTGGGCGACTTTGGGCGAATCACCAGGAGACAGGGAGTTCTAGTCCTGCCTTAAGTAATGAGAGCCGACTGGGTGACTCTGTGCCAATCACAAGGAGACTGGGAGTTCTAGTCCTTAGCCATGAAAGCCATCTGGGGGACTTTGGGCCAATCACCAGGAGACTGGGAGTTCTAGTCCTGCCTTTCACAGAGAGCCGACTGGGTGACTCTGTGCCAATTACAAGGAGACTGGGAGGTAGTCTAGTCCCAGCTTAGCCAGGAAAGCCATCTGGGGGACTAGGGCCAATCACCACACTGGGAGTTCTAGTCCTGCCGACTGGGTGACTCTGTGCCAATCACCAGGAGACTGGGAGTTCTAGTCCTGCCTTTCACATGAGAGCGACTGGATGACTCTGGGCCAATCACTAGGAGACTGGGAGTTCTAGTCCCACCTTAGCCAGGAAAGCCAGCTGGGTGACTTTGGGCCAATCACTCTCTCTCAGCCCATCCCAGGGTGGTAATTTTGGGGGGCGAAAACAGCGAAGGAAAGAATATTAGATTTTTTTCACCACCTTGAGTTGTTTATAAAAAAAAGAAGAAGAATTAAGGTGGCATGTAAATAAATAAAAAAAATTTCACCCTTAGAATAAGAAGATTGTTAGGTCAAGAAATGACCCTGGAAGAGATATTTCTAGTTTGAAATGAGGCCAACCTACCTCAACTAGTACTGTGAGATATTTGCAAATATTTTCAGTGGACAAGAGTTCAATTCTGTTGCTTCTTTGGGTTGTGAGTAATTAAATAATCCAAGTAAATCATATGCAAAATTGGGGTGGAGTTAATCCCACACATACTCTGAGCCTTTACAACAGTGTTTCTCAACCTTGGAAGCTTGAAGATGGGTGGACTTCAACTCCCAGAATCCCCCAGCCAGCGCTGCTGGCTGGGGGATTCTGGGAGTTGAAGTCCACCCATCTTCAAGCTTCCAAGGTTGAGAAACACTACTTTACAAGAACACCTTGTCTGTTACGTCCATTCCTCATGGTGTGATGGTGCAAATGCCACTTTTTCTCCATCCTGGTGTGTGTTGGGTTTTTGCTGTCCAACAAGAAGTACAGACATACAACAATTCATTTAGCGACCATTCGAACCGTGTTTCGTAACTTAAGAACTTCAGGGATCCACTGAACAACCGTGCCGTGGAAGGTTGCAAAATGGGGCAAAACTCACTTAAGAGCCATCTTGCTCA